GATTTGAATATTCTCCAGCCCAGAAACCACTTTCTCTTCTATTCTCTGAATCTGATTGTATTCTGTATTGTAAATCCAACGATTGCCTCTCCCTTAAAAACACCCCCCCCCTCACATCTCTCAACTACGTGAAATGGCCCCGACACGCTTTAGTCACCAGTTTAATTCATAAAAAAGTAGCTATAACTCTTGACATCACCTCCACAGCCCACCCGAGGACTCCAGCCGGTGACATCGTATTGTGAGGCTTTTTCTCGAGCGCTGAATTCTGAGACTTAAGGGAAGGTTATTTGAAGCATCCTGGTAGATTTCCCGGCTTTCACTTCTCTCCCCCGCTTGGCTGGTAATTTTCTGCTGCTGCTCCTCCTCCTCCTCTTGACCTCCTCCAAGGTACCTTCGCCTCCCCTCCCCCAACTCGTTCCCTGTAAAACCTCCAGCGGGCGGTGGGAATCATTCCTTTGGCGCTAAATTCAGAGCTGCCCGTTGGACTGGATTGCAGTGGAAGAAAGGGTGTCACTTCTTTCGGCAAGAATATCATTTGATGAACTACACTGAGTTAACTTGCTCTGGGCTTCCTGAAAACTCAGGTGGGCCTGTGGGTATTTTAGATTCACTGGAGATGTGATAGCTTTCAGACCAACAGCCTAGGGCTTGGGAGATAAAGCGTTTTCAACTTCCCAGACTCCAACTCCTTCCCACCAACCTCTCCCCCACCCCAGAATCCGATACAATTAATGCAGGATTTGCCAGATGTAGGGTTCAGTGGGTCCTTGGGCCAGAACTTCTTAATCATTACATTGCATTCATGAGCTCCAACCTGGGATCCACGCAGAACTCCGGTGCAGTTAAAAATTGCATGTTCCTAGTCATCTAGGGTTTCCAAAAGAACACAAAACAAACAAACAAACAAACAAAAAACCTTAGAAAAAAGGTAGAAAATGGTTTCACCCGACATTGCCAGACACTTGTGAAATTATAATAAATTCTTCCAAAAGCACAATTTTAAAGGGAAGATGCAAATTTCTGCCCTCACTTGGTCAAACTCTACGGCAATGACCTGCGGAACCTCGCATTCTCAAGACTGCTCTGAGGTTTGTGGCTTCGCCGCTGCCAGGAACCTGGAATTCTACCTCGGCTGAGAACCGAGCAGCAGACCGCACATGAAAGCTGCCTCCCGGCTGCTGTCTGCCAGTAAAGAATACCAGGAATGCTGGCGACAGAAACAACTACCTGAACTCAGAAACATTGGCTAGTAAGCCCAGCGTGCAGAAGAAAAGTCTTGCTAATTTACCCAGATTGTTTTAACTGGTTAATAAAGCAATTGACACTCAACAAAACCACCAACGCAGCAGGAGTCCTCGGCAATAAAACGAGAATCACTACTGTTGTAGTCGTTGTTAACAACTGCCTTTATTATTATCACTGCTTAGTATTCTTAAAAAAAAAAAAAGGGAGGGGGAGAGATAATGACTTCATACTCAATGGTACAAAAAGATCCCTTCTCTTTTTCTCTAAAATTAGAGCACAGATTTTCTTCCTCAAAAAGCCACCAATAATAAAAACTGAGAGAAATTAACTCTAAACATCGACAACCCTGGGTGGAATATAAATGGTTAATCGTGACTCCTTTTAAACATATAATTTTATCTGACTCTCGGATGTGATTTAAGATTCTAATGGTTTATATAGTCTTATTCTATCTACATGATTACACAGAAAAATAAAAATAAGGGAAATGGAATATATTCCATACCTATTTTCTGAGGCGAAAATGTTCTTGTTTCATTTGGACCCCTCAAATGATGTGTTTATGGATATCAGAAAATGTAAATACTTCAGTTATATATATTTTTTCCATTTGAATACCTTACTGATGCAAATTGGCATCCCCATCATTATACTACTCTTTCAAACTGATTCTAATGTGGGCTAAACAGAGAAGCACGGTCCCTGGGAATAAGTTCCCAAATAAATTCATAGTTCAGGGAAAAATGATGAAAGTCCGCTTTCCTTCCATCTTGGTTAGTTGGGAAGGAGAAAGCTTTCTCCCTTACTGTACATGATTTCCCAAAGAACCAGCTTAAAATTCATTTACATCTGCCAGAAGTTGCTGGGATATAAATACTAAATGTGTAATGCTACTTTTCGATTGCAATGAAAACCTATTTAGATTTTTGAAAAGTAGCTTGAGAACATGATATTTGTTCAGGAATCTGTATCTGGCATTAAATTTGATGCGGAATCTTAAAATTTTTAAATGAAAGCAAAGAAAGAAAGCAACAGCACACAAAAATGCCTGCATAAAAGCCCACCAGGAGTTTTAGGTGTAATTGCTGTATTTTGGAAGGTGTGTACAAGTGCACATGGACAGATGCCACAGACCCAAGAGGAACTTATTAAATCTTAGCATCTCTTTTATACTCAAAGGCACTGTAAAGTATATTGGGGTGTCCTGGAAGTTATGGGAACAATATTAAATAATTACTCATATTTTCCTTTTTCTCTCATCAATATAAGAGCTCACACTAAAGGATTAATACTACTGCTGTTTAGAAGGATATATTTTTGACCTAACAGAATATGCAAAGGTCAAAATGAGTCCATTTTTGACGAGAGGGTCTAATCCCCCCTTTGAACACAAGAGGTCGCTCCTGTGACCAAATACTGGGGAAAATATTGGTAACTAAAATTTGATGTATTTTATAAAAATATTACAAAATTTTTACAGATATATTTAATGCATTTAATGCACGTATAAACTAAGGAAATAGGAATAATTCGTGATCATATTTAAACTTCAGGGTGAAGTAGAACAATAATGCCTGCTATCGAAACTTTGATTTTACCAAAAAAAAAAAAGAAATGTACTAAAAACAGACATATAGAACTCCAGAGCACATCCATCACAGAACAACATAATTATTGGGTCCCCTCAAATTTTTCCCTCCGACAGGGAATATCGTCTGCCTGATCTTTACCTCTATCAGCCTAAGAACTTAAGAAAATACTTGTTTACAATAACTGTGTGGGCTGAAGAAAGAAAAACATATTGTCTTCACCATTATGATGAAATTTTTCAGTACTAACGGTTTTCCTCCAAGGCACAAGTCAGGTTTTCTATTTGGAATTGCTATCAACATCAGCAATAGTTCTTTGGAATAGTTTATTAGTTTAGGGAGTTTAAGTGCCACACTGAGTCTGTGGCTGGTTTGAAGGAAGATGGATAGTGAAGGTGCTTTACGGATTTCAAATACAAGTCGTCAGGTTTCTGGCAGCTTCCGTTGTTTAATACCATGTTATAAAGGTTGCATGATGGAATATGATTGGTTAAAATTTTCTATTTACTTACTGGAGTTATAGTGGTCTTTTTTTTTTTTTTTAACTACAGTCAACTTGGTTATCTACACAGGAAACATGCCTGTATACTGGGAATACTTGCTTCGTGTTGATTATCACCATCAGTTTTGCAAAAGCAGCTTGACAAAAGAAACCATGCACATAATACCAGAAAGCAAAGACTATGACCAAAAACCAAAATAAAAAAAAAAATCAAAACAAAACAAAAAACTGGTATATTTATTAACCTATGTCTATCCAACTTCGGATTTCACACATCCACTTCAACTTACAATAAAATGGATGAGATCCGGTTAGAAATCTTTTTTGAGGAAAACAGAACAAATACACGTTCTTGATAAAACCTCAGCGAGATCAGGAGGAAACTCATGCATGTTCGATTTTCTTTGAGCTCTGGAGAAGCCTATCCATGCAAATCAAGCCACTGAGGCCCGCTGAGGGCTCACAGCTCTTATCAAGGGTTAGATCTGGAGAAAGATACAAAGAAAGGAGTTTCCTAACACACCAGGTTTACTCCCGGCAACAAGACACTGAAATTAACCCTTCTACTGCTTGGGTTTGGGGCCTTTTTAGATAAAACTGGCAGTCACGTTAGATAAGGAATAGTTACTTAGAAGCTTTGGGAGAAGTGTGGGGGTTCTTCGTGGCCTTACTGAAGCTTTGTTTGGGGGAGACAAAGATATGACAGGAACAGGTTAAGAAATTATGGAAAAGGGTTACCGGCGAGTTGCAGCCAACATTCTTCTCTCTCCAGGTTGTTTCCTGAGAGAAAACTATCAGATAAACACACCCCGTGAAGGAAAATAGGTATTTTACTGTTCGTCTGTATTAGACCCCTATTCACGCCCTTGGACTAATAATGCATTTTTTAAAATATTCTAGACATGGAGACTTGTCCTAATAATTACCAAAACACCACCAGCTAATTGTACACCTCTGCTGAAAAACAAAGGGCAGGAAACCAGCAGAGAGGAACTGGTCAGGACATAATCGCTTTACCAATTTTAAAGTACTGGAAGATCATTTCGTTTTAGATTCGGGTTAGTACGCTTCTATAGTTAAACTGCTAATTCTATAGTTAAACTGCAACGCAGACCTCGCGGATCATAAAGGAGAGCTTGGAGTCCGCGGAGTCAACCTGATTTTACCTGTGCGTTTCCAACCTGATTCTCCGCTAAGGCAAGAAGCGCCCCTTTCGTCCCACCCCACGTTTCTGGAGATGAGGTCGGGGGTAATGGGGTCATGGGGAAGCAGTAGCGAACAATTCCCCTGGGTCTATTCATCCCATTCCCGGTTCTTCTTCCCTTTGGGCAGCTCCCAGCGCGCAAGGCGCAGTCAGTTCGGGAACTCACCCTCCCCAGCAGCCAAGCCCCGCCAGGCCCAGAGCTGTGAGCCAAAGCGCGAGATCAAACCGAGCCAAACGGGCTGTTCCAAGTTGTTTCTTTTCCTAGAACCCGGGAGGGACCTCATCACCAGGAAAACCTACCCACCAGCCACTCGCCACCGGCGGCAGAAAAGTGAGCCGCGCGCGCAACACGGCCAGCCGGACTGCGGGGACCCCAGGAACGCAGGGCGAAGGAGCAGCGCGACAGGAGGAAAGAGAGCTGGCGGCGCGGCCGAGAAGGAGCAAGGGAGGGGACAGAAGGAGGAGTAGGGGAGGGAGGCCAGAAGCCAGAGCAGCCGGGCAGCCCCGGATGAGCCCCGAGCAAGTTGCCTCGGGAGCCCTAATCCTCTCCCGCGGGCTCGCCGAGCGGTCAGTGGCTCACAGCGGCGGCGAGGCTGAAATATGATAATCAGAACAGCTGCGCCGCGCGCCTCGCAGCCAATGGGCGCGGCGCTCGCCTGACGTCCCCGCGCGCTGCGTCAGACCAATGGCGATGGAGCTGAGTTGGAGCAGAGAAGTTTGAGTAAGAGATAAGGAAGAGAGGTGCCCGAGCCGCACCGAGTCTGCCGCCGCCGCAGCGCCTCCGCTCCGTCAGCTCCGCCGGCTTAAATTGGACTCCTGGATCCAAGAGGGCGCGGTGCAGCCGGGCAGCGGCTCTCTCAGCGTTGGCAACCCCCGGGGCCACTATTTCCCACTTAGCCACAGCTCCAGCATCCTCTCTGTGGGCTGTTCACCAACTGTACAACCACCATTTCACTGTGGACATTACTCCCTCTTACAGATATGGGAGACATGGGAGATCCACCAAAAAGTAAGAGGCTGTTTTACCTTGTGGGGCTCGATGTGCTGGTGTTGTGCGGGGCTCTCTCTCAGGCACGGGTGCCAAGGGCTCTTCGGAGTTGGAGTCATTGCCTGGAGAGACAGAGAGAAGGTGGCTTTTTCTAGTTGCCGCCACGCCTGCATGCTTGCTATAGGTTCTGATCTTCGGGAAACTGAGTGTACCTTGTATTTAAATTCGCCTGTGTACCCTCCAAAACCCTAGCCTTCTGGTGCTAAGTGGTTTCCTGCTCCGGAATTCTGTGCTCTCCCGAGAAGGTTATTCTGTTGCAGAGGTCTGCCGGCACATACAATACCGGAGATGTGAATTAGCATTAGACTTGCAAAAGAGAACCAGTGACAACTGTATTGATGTCTGCTCTTGCTAACAATATCCAGTCCTATGTGCTATTTAAGAGCTTGCTTCATAGAAAATATAGACATCCCTGCGTTTACTTAACGCTTCTAGTCAAAACCTTTTCTTTGACTTGATTTATCCATAATCTTTCCCAGTGATTATAGCAAAGAGGGAAGAGGGAGGAAAAAGAAATACAAAATGAACAGGTTTGATTGCGTGCTAGGCTTACAAATGTAGACTATTCAAATCTGCATTTTACATATATTCCACCTCCTTTTTAAAACGAGTCAAGGTTTTGATGGCACACTTCAATTACCATCCCAAAGTGCAATACTCTTAAAGAAAGAAAGAGAAAGAAAGAAAGAAAAAAAAAAAAACTCCCAGAGAACGCCCTATAAGAGAACGACACTAAAAGTGTGTTTATCTCTGTAGGAAGTAAACGGTTAGTCAATCATGTATTTATTTTCATTTCAGAAAAACGTCTGATTTCCCTATGTGTTGGTTGCGGCAATCAAATTCACGATCAGTATATTCTGAGGGTTTCTCCGGATTTGGAATGGCATGCGGCATGTTTGAAATGTGCGGAGTGTAATCAGTATTTGGACGAGAGCTGTACGTGCTTTGTTAGAGATGGGAAAACCTACTGTAAAAGAGATTATATCAGGTACGCCATTTATACTGCTTCCTTAATTTTGTGAGATTTCCCTGTCTTTCCCCACTCCTTATTTATTATTTGGTGTGGCTTTGTATTTTTGCGAAGTTTGCCTTAGTGGGGTCCAGCATGCAAAAGTTACCCAGTACATATGTTACATAAATTAAACTATGCTGTTCATTTCACTGTTTATGAAAAAGACTCTACAAAACCCAATAGTAGTTTTCATAAATTATGTGGTATTGAAGCTTGTTTAATCGCTCATGGAATTTGTGATGTTCAAATTATTTTCCTCTTGTATCCTTCCCCTTCTATAACAAAAAAATTTAAAGACGGATAAGTTCGGATTTTTGGACTTTAAAAAGAGGTTGGTTTTTATTGTACATGCAGTGTTTTTTCTTTTCTGTATATGTATTTTAGTTCGATATTTTATTAGTAACTTACAAATTCTTTGGAGGTGTGAATTTAATGGGCGAAATAAAAGTTTGACCCAAGCATGTTGAAAGATACACTTCGAAAGAACAAATAAAGGTATCGAGACTTTTACTTTTAGGGTAAGAGTTTCTACCTGGAAAATTTTAAAACGAACCCAAATATTCCCTGCAAAAAGACCAGAAATTTAATCTTTTTAAAAATTAACCCTTTGGTGATATCTGACTGTCTTTTCTTTCTTATCTTATCTGAGCTGATGAATTAGACAGAGCAGATCAAATTGCCCATCATCTGTCTACGAACAATCGGTATATTTAGATAATTGAACAGCTTCCTTTCTCACATTAAAATCTGGTAACTGATAAAATGAGCGAATTTCCCATACTGACAAGACTACAACCACATAAGAAACTTTATGAGTTTTTTCCTTTCAATTTCTTCTGTCTAAACTTCATGCTTTGCTAATTGAAAATTTTCTCTGACCTGTGTGTGTGTGTGTATATATGTCAGAACTTCATTTTCTACCTTAGAAAGCTAGTAGAATTTCTAAAGAAAATTTTATCGTTTCAATAATAGAAGAGATAACACTTTCACAATTATGTTAAATAATATCAAAATTATATATTTAAAATTTTTTTCTTTAGTGGCTATTAACAAGAAAATAGCTTTTGTAAGTCATTTTCTGGAGCTGAGAACTCATTAAAGCTTAGTCGAGATTTAAGTATGCAGTTAGAATTTTTTCTGCTCACTTAGTGTCCAGGGTTTTTTTTTCTTATTTTAAAATCATGAAATAGAGAGTAGAATCTTGATAGATACAAATGAACAGTGCAAAAAAAATGTTTATTAATACTTTAATGGAGGTGGGAGAAATGTAGGAGGAAATAGGGGAAGTGGGAACTGGAGGAAGGGGGAGGGGTTTCCCAAATTGTTTGGTCACAAGCAAGGTAAAGTCCTCATCCTATGAAATGGAAGATCTCACATAGAGTAGGCGGAGGGAGGCAAAACTTTTGAATCTACCTTAACCTCTGACAAATGAGCTGTTTTCATTGTTTACTTGATTGGTGTGTGAACTCGAGATTGTGGCGAGGGAGAGCTCACTTCGCACCTTCAGGAGTATCTTTACTCCTATGGAGATAGTGTTTTGCTCAATTGCATACAGATCTGCATGTGCCTAATTCTGGATACACGTTTGTAGAAGGAGCCAATCGCCTCTCTCTCTCTGTCTCTCTCTGTCTCTGTCTCTGTCTGTCTCTCTCTCTCCTCTCTCACTCCCCCCACTTTCTCTCCATCCTCCTCCCTCCCTGCTCTCTTCCTCCCTCCTAACTACCCCCCCCACCCCCCGTTTTGAAATCCTGTAGTTGTACAAGCAGACAGACCATTTAAATCTCCAAATGCCTCTCTCCCCTTGGGGGAGTGAGGTGCCCCCTTCCCTGTTTTGTGCGGGTATTTTCCTCTCTTCTAGTCCGTTTGTAGGAATGCCCCCGCTTCTGTTATTACTGGTACACGGAGAGGGGGCCAGGTCAGTGCTGCAGAGAAGGAACCTGCAAAGATTGTTTCTTGATAAGGAAAGGTCAGCATTAAGGAAAACCTTAGAAGTGGATCTTTTTTTTTTTTTTTTTTTTTTTTGGCTGATCATAGCTTTAAAGCAAATTGAAATAGAGGTAGATGCTTCAGCAACTTGAAAAAGATTGAGGGAGCAGAAGCCGATTTTAAAAATAATGAAAGGAAGACTGTAGAGGAAACTTTCAGTTAACATTGTTGCCTGAGGAAAAATCTTTAGTTCCGGAAAAACTGCCGTGGACTTGTGCAAGAGAGATCTGGAAATCCTCAGGTTTCATTTTGTTATTCTGCTTGTGCATCGTGTGTGTTTGCAAACGGAGCGATGTGACAATCTCATTCTCCAACTTCTCCTTCTCTTGGATAGAGAGAGGCCTTTTTGTTACAGTTTTAGAGTCATTTCTAGTAGCAGAAATTGAGGCACAGAGAGGCGAAAGTGTGGGGCCAGCGGCTACCGGAGCCCCCATGGACTCCATCCTTTTGAAGAGCTGCGGATGTAGGGCCACCCTGCGGCTGATCTCTAGGGCAGCCGCCCCGGGTACAGAACACATCAAACATTTTTCCTTGGTATGGACTGGGTGTGCGAATCAAAACATGGAGGTTTATAGGAAAGAAAAAGGGAATAAAAGAAAGGAAGAGGGAAGGGAGAGAGAAACCTAATTATATGTATTCTTCCATTCCCAGCTTGTCTGCAAATGCTGATTTCAGTGTCTCGGGGCCTTGGTGGCCTGGGTCGCCGGCAGTCTTGGGCCGGGGCAGTGTCCGCCTGAAGTGACTCCCTCTCCCTGTGTTTCTCTCCCCGCCCCGGGCCCGGTCCCCGCGCAGGTTGTACGGGATCAAATGCGCCAAGTGCAGCATCGGCTTCAGCAAGAACGACTTCGTGATGCGCGCCCGTTCCAAGGTGTACCACATCGAGTGTTTCCGCTGCGTGGCCTGCAGCCGCCAGCTCATCCCCGGGGACGAGTTCGCGCTGCGGGAGGACGGGCTCTTCTGCCGCGCAGACCATGACGTGGTGGAGAGAGCCAGCCTGGGCGCCGGCGACCCACTCAGCCCTCTGCATCCGGCGCGGCCGCTGCAAATGGCAGGTACTCCTCGGCCCGGAGGGAGGCCCGGCTCCGGGATGCGGGCGCCCGGCTAGGCCAGCGCCGCCTTCGCCAGCGCGCTGGCGGCTGCAGCAACCCTCGTAGCTGCTGGGCGGTCGATGTGGCAGCGGCGGTGGCGTGCAGTTAACTGAAGTGTTCTGAGTGCAGTTTGTACTGTGCTTCCCCCTTTCGCAGCAAGGTTCAATGCACTCCTTGTCTCCCTGGACTCCCGCAGCACACCTACACGTCTGTGTGTCTATATATGGGTACACATGAATGTACACCACTTGTGCACACATGTATACACACGCCCAAACAGTACTTCCAGTTCACCTTGGCCTTCAAGCCTTGGCTTACTGAAAACGGGCATCAGCTTCCCGCCAGGTATTCTCCATTCTGCGGCCTAATTAAAGGGGTGGAGCTCTAGGCCCCTGGAGTTTCCTCCTTTAATCCAGTGAAGGAAGTTTAGGTTGCCTTAAGTCATTTAGCCTCTCGAGTCATTTTTCCTTGCGAACTGCCCCACACTCCAGAACGTTTTTAAATTTTATTTTTATCCTTTTGTGAGAAAATGAACCTGAAAAGATACAGTCTTAATAACTGCAGGCCATTGCACAGAGCTGTAATTTAAAACTGTCAACAAGCTAATCTGTGGTAATCACCTTTTAAAGGGAGCCTGCCTCTTTAAACCATTCATTCTCAGCGATTTGGTGAGAATTTCATTTTCGGGCCTGTGGCTGTAACACTAAATTGACCCCATAGGTGTTGACCTGACCCTAGGGGGTTCTGGAAGGTGTAGGATTTGTGTATACAGATCAGAGGGCTTTTTCCCCAGGAAGGAGGGTAGAAACAGAGCAAGGCCCACCAGGAGGGGCCAGGGGTAAGAAGGCAGACAATGTTTCCAGTCCTGCCTTGCAGGTTTTGAATAGATCTGCCCCCCCCCCACACATTTTTTAAGTATCAATTCCCACTAAACACTGGCTGAGAAAACTAGAGCTCTTTCCCCTCTGCATTCTGGCAGCTCTAAGAATTGTCCTTGGAGATTTGTGACTAGCTTGCACTTGAGGGGAAAGCCAGAGGTGGCAACTTCTGTTCCCTGCAACCTGTACTCTCTCTGCTTGTGGGGACATATATAGGAAGCTGAAATCTTGGGAGGGAGTCAGAAAACAATGCATCCCAGCTGTCCTTTATCTAGAGCCTAGGTAGCCCAACAGAGTTTCAGTTTTCCTTCACTTGGGGTCAGCCCATCTCAGGAACATACAGGTAGATTTAGTACTAAGAAAGATCAGAACTGGAGAGATGGCCTAAACACTGCAGTTTCATGAGTTTTATCCTCTTGATATGAGTGTCCCCTACAGACTTAAGTTCAAGGCTTTCTGGCAGAATTTTCCTCAGCCTCTGCATTGCAGACATCCTGGCTGGTGTAGTGACTCTGGCTGTCACTGGGGTGTTTTGAGTTACCTTCCTGGTACCATCTGGCCATTCTCCCAAGAGTCCAGAAGTGGGAGAGTCCTCAGTGTGACCTGGGCCCAGTCCGGAGGGAGGAGAAACAATGCTGAAAGGTGCCACCCCTACTGCAAGAAGGGGACAGGCCCTGAGACTTGTGCCCCATTGCTAATACTGTGTTGACATGAGCAAAGGTGGAGGCTGTTTCCCCTGTATTACTCGGCATTGATCTCCGAGATTAGAAAGCAAGATTTTATTCTACCTTTCTCTTCTCTCACATGCACCTCTACTGCCCCTGCGTTGTCAGTCGAGGCTGCAAAGCACTGATCATTGTCCGGGAGCGGGGCAGTGGCAGGCGAGTGCCTGGCCCGCGCTCACGGCGCCTCTTACCCCCGCAGCCGAGCCCATCTCCGCCCGGCAGCCGGCCCTGCGGCCCCACGTCCATAAGCAGCCAGAGAAGACCACCCGCGTGCGGACTGTGCTGAACGAGAAGCAGCTGCACACCTTGCGGACCTGCTACGCCGCCAACCCAAGGCCTGACGCGCTTATGAAGGAGCAACTAGTGGAGATGACTGGCCTCAGCCCGCGCGTGATCCGGGTCTGGTTTCAGAACAAGCGGTGCAAGGACAAGAAGCGGAGCATCATGATGAAGCAGCTCCAGCAGCAGCAGCCCAATGACAAAACTGTGAGTGGCCCAGGGGCTGGGCAGGGGACCCGAGGGAAGCAGAGGAGGCGTGCCAGGTGTGTGCCGGCTGCCCAGGTTGGCTGGCGCTGGATTTCTATCCTGCTTTGGAACAGGAGTCCTGACAGGTGGCAACTCACCCCCACCTAAGCGGGAGGGTGGGAGTGTGGGGGAGGAGAGGCAACCATCATTGCCAAGCCCACCAGGGAGGGCTGGCCTGGTCTAGGAGGCTGCTCCTGGGGTTGGAGCAGCTGCCCACACTCATAGCCTGGGTGGGTGGGCTCATGCCCTTCAACTTTGTTCCCACAGGGAACCAGAAAGACATGGTCTCCCCTCTGTGGGCAGGCAGCAGCAAGGCCTGGCTCTGGTTTTGCCAACATTTGAGATTGTCAGTTCCTGAAGAAGAGAAAGGCACAACTCCTTGGCTTCCTGTCAAATCCAGGGGTACAGGGGTGGGTCATCCCGGGGTTCCCTGGGCCCCACACACACACTGGGCTAGGCCTGCTGTAGATCCTTCAGGCCAGAAGGCGCCCCAAGGTGACCTGCAAAAAACAAGGCAACCTCTGCTCAAGGTCAGGCCCAGGCTTCCAGAGATGTCAGGCCCTTGGCACTGTTAACCATGATTATCCCCAGCTGCTCCTACCCCACAGGCTTTCTGGTTAAAGTAATCCAAAGAGTTCCGTTTTTGTTTTTTTGTTTTGTTTTGTTTTTCTTTTTGCTTTTTACTGCTTCAATCCTATTTTTAAATACCATAAAACCCACTGTCATTAAACTTGGCAGGCCGGTCAAGACCGCGCCAGGACACTTTCGAAGTTGGTTAGTGCGCAATAACACAATAGCCGCCAGACCCAAACGCTTGAGGGTGGGGGTTGGGTCTGCAGAGAGAACTGCCTGGAGAAAATCTAGCCGAAAATCTAACTAAGTGAAATTGCCCAGAAAAGCACCTATCTAGAGGCTGAAGGAAGGCCTGTCATACCTAAGCTTTCTAATTCTGGGAGGCTGTAGTCTGGAAAGGCAAGCAGGAGGAATTGGGAAGAGCTGTGAGTATAAGGGAAAGAAGAAAGTTGTAATAGATTTTGGTTAGATAAGGTCCAAGCAGACTTAATAGTCCATCTCACAGAAGCAGAAAAACAAAACACAGTAAAACAAAACTGAGCTCCCGCTAATATTCATACGTACAGCCGATTAACTGAATCAATAAAGGCCACAGTGTAGATAAGATAATACCAGGGTATATTTGCTTAGCCTGTGCAGACAATGGAGGGAGGGAGTTTGCTTATTAACATGTTGGGATGGGGGCGCCTATTCACAGAATATCCAGGGTATGACAGGAACTCCCATGGTGGCTGCCAGTCCAGAGAGACACGACGGTGGCTTACAGGCAAACCCAGTGGAGGTGCAAAGTTACCAGCCACCTTGGAAAGTACTGAGTGACTTCGCCTTGCAGAGTGACATAGATCAGCCTGCTTTTCAGCAACTGGTAAGTGTCAGCTCCCGGGAGTGAGGAGGCGGAATCTCCAACAGAAAGGAGATTCTGGTTTAACTGTTACACAATGGAAGATTCAGGGGGTGGTTGCCTCCCCGGCCCCAGGGTTGGGGAAAGATGAAAGAGGTGTGGTGAAGGGAAGGAGGCAAGCTCACAAGAAAAACAAACCTCTTGTGAGTCTTTTTTATGAGAGTTTGTCATTTGACCATATAGGTTGAATTTTCTATCAATCAGTCCTGCTTTGATGTATTAATTGCAAGGTGCCTAACTAAACAGACATGCGTGGGAAGGTATACAGGGCTGCAAAATCATACCTCTTAGACTTTTGAGTTGGAAGGGGCTTTAGATAGAGATCACCTTGACATTTTAATCAGCAATTAGGTAAACTTACTCCTTTCTCGATTCTTAGAGAATGATATATTTAAGGACCTAAATCAAGATTTTTGTAATAATCAACATTGAAATACATAATGTTATTATCAGTGAGCAGCAGGCATTTGTCTGGGTGGAGTTTTCAAATAAATCAGTAAAGAGTTCAGCCATTCGAAGATATGATTGATACTTTTTGTTACTATATCCATTTCCGAAACTGTCTTAACCTAAAATGTAGTACTGCTTAAACATTTTTAAGTGTATGAGTTCAACCATCATACATAGCCACATACTGTGGGGCATGGTAATATGTGTTTTAGCATTAATATGTTTTACACATCCAGAAAAGAGAAAATGACTCACCTTTTGCCTACAGAAGGCTTAAGGGTCAAGATAAATAAGATAATTAAATATATGGCCTTTGTGGCATGGTTTATGTTCACATAAGATTGTTTTCTTTGAATAGTAAACAGCTCTATAGAATCTTATTCTATAAAACAAGATCTTTCCTAAAAATCTATTCCTGTTATTGGAAATGAAGCTCTAGTTGTTTTTAGGTTAGTTTTTACCCCCACATTTACTAGAGGGGCAACAGTTAGGTAATAGGCCAGAGTCAGTGGTCAAGAAGGCTCGGCCCAGGTTTATGTTTGTGAGTGGGCCAGTCTAGAGCCTAGGCAAATTTTAGACATCCCTTGACCTCACAATGGGGAAGTTTAATTGGGTAGATAGGAAAGTAGACTCTGGAATTAGGAAAAAAGAACTGACTTTAAAGTCAGGTTAATCTTATGAGTTGAAGAAAACATGGATCATAAGAGGGCAGGTAGGGGAGGGTTCAGGGCAGCCAAGTGTTTGCAGCTTCTGAAACTTTAGTGTCAGATGTGAGCAATAGAAGGGGAGCCAAGGCAGGAGGCGGGGGTCGGGGGCAGGGCGAAGGAGGTTTACAAGAGCAACACAATACTTTCGGCTTAAAAGAAGGAGCCAGATATTTATAACACGATGACGTTATAATATATGGGTCTCCTCTTGGAAGGAAGAGCCTGATTTAAAGAGAAAGAGAGAGAGAAAGAGAAAGCCCCAAAGGCAGCAGGACCAACAACAAGGAAGAAACCCACGCTGTGAACCCTCTGAGGAGTTAATCATTGTTCTGTGGAGCCTCCTCTGAATCACCCGTCACACGATCTGAGCGTGTGTTATGGATTTTCCAACTCAAGAAGAGAGGCTTTGATGGCTGGAGACTGAGAACTCGCCTGCTCCCAGGGCAACATGTAGCTGGCAGGATAATTTTATTTCGAGCATGCATGGTAGAATTGCGATGCCATTTTACAGTGGGAAACACATTTGTTCTTAAATAATTTAACGCAACATAATGTTGGGAATTCAGTTTCAGTTAAAACAGAGATCTCTTGGAAGATGGGAAAGCGAGAAGATTTCCTCTCAAATTCTTTTCCTTGTAGGCTTTCTTTAAGCCTGTTAAAATTCAATCATAGATGCTGTTACCTCTGTCTACATATCTGTCTCTCTATACACAGACACTTATATGTTCATACACATAAGTTTATAATCCTTTTATGAATATGATCGCAGCCTCCTTTATTCATTTCTCAACCTTCTATGCAGGTAAATTTTTCAGAAGGAGGACCGGGCTCTAATTCCACTGGCAGTGAAGTGGCGTCGATGTCCTCTCAGCTCCCAGATACACCTAACAGCATGGTAGCCAGTCCTATTGAGGCATGAGGAACATTCATTCAGATGTATTTTTTTTCCCTGTTGGAGAAAGTGGGAAATTATAATGTTGAACTCCAAAACAAAAGTATTTAACGACCCTGTCAATGAAAACTGAATTGAGAAATGAATGCTCCATGAAATGCACGAAGTCTGTTTTAATGACAAGGTGATATGGTAGCAACACTGTGAAGACAATCATGGGATTTTACTAGAATTAAACAACAAACAAAATCCAAACCCAACATACGCTATCCAATGACCTTAGGAGGACTGAAAAAAAAAAAAAAAAAAGACGTTTTTAAAACGTAGAGGATTATATTCAAGGATCTCAAAAAAAGCATTTTTCATTTCACTACACATCTAGAGAAAAGCAGAAACAGATTTTCTAGTCCATCCTATTCTGAATGGTGCTGTTTCTATATTGGTCATTGCCTTGCCAAACAGGAGCTCCAGCAAACGAGCAGGAAGAGAAACTGGCCTCCTTGGCTGAAAGGGTCTTTTCAGGAAGGTGGAGCTGCGTTGGTTTGCGATGTTTTTAGTTGACTTTAACAAGGGATTAATTGACATCCTGGGTTTCTTAGCATGTCCTGTAGCTGGTTTCGTTTTTTTTCTTTTTGCCCCTTCCCCCTCCTTTTTTTTGAGATCCATCCTCTATCAAGAAGTCTGAAGCGACTTTAAAGGTTTTTGAATTCAGATTTAAAAACCAACTTATAAAGCATTGCAACAAGGTTACCTCTATTTTGTCACAAGCGTCTCGGGATTGTGTTTGACTTGTGTCTGTCCAAGAACTTTTCCCCCAAAGATGTGTATAGTTATTGGTTAAAATGACTGTTTCTCTCTGGAAATAAAGAGGAAAAAAAGGAAACCTTTTTTTTTTTTTTGTTTGCTCTTGCATTGCAAAAATTATAAAGTAATTTATTATTTATTGTCGGAAGACTTGCCACTTTTCATGTCACTTGACATTTTTTGTTTGCTGAAGTAAAAAAAAAAAAGAAAGATAAAGGTTGTACCGTGGTCTTTGAATTATATGTCTAATTCTATGTGTTTTGTCTTTTTTCTTAAATATTATGTGAAATCAAAGCGCCATATGTAGGATTATATCTTCAGGACTATTTCACTAATAAACGTTTGGCATAGATAAATAAATAAATACAATGATCCAGGATCCCTCTTTTATGTTTACAAGTAAGCATTAAAATGTCTGAAATTAAGTACTGCATGTGAATGGGGTAAACTGACATACAATAGGTGTGATGTTTTATTGCAAATAGTTACGGGTCGAGTTTGCAAGTTTGCATTGCTGCAGTGGGATCAAAACTGGTTGGAAGCCTTTAGCTCTCAGCTGTGATAATGTTACTGGGTTTTGAAAATAAGAGGCTGTCTTCTGTCCTGCTCCCCACCTTTCCTTCCTCCTGTCTGTTTTCTTGCCCTACCCTTACCCCACCCAACATAAGAAGAGGGTCCTGCTTAAAGTGGGTTTTCATTCTGAGTCACTTTTATTTTCTTAGAGTAAGTGCTTTATACCAAAGTCTCCTGCTTAGGATTGTTGAAATGACCCATATTTCAAGTATAAGCTCTTGCTAAAAGAGGCTTTCTGCCTAGCCAGTGAGGTATGACCATTATTTACCAGAGGCGTCTGTCAGCCGATTGAGAAATGCTCCTTTATTTGCGCAGGAAGAACAGGCCGAGAGAGGAGAGTGGTTTTTTTCGGCAATTCCCAGACCAGTCAGCTTGTGTTTTCTTGTCCCCCGACCCCCGCTGCCCCCTTCTCCAGCTTGTTTCCTAACCCCGTCCCCTTGTCTTCTCCCGCAATTCCAATTTCGAACTTCTTGGAGGGGCGACTGGCCCAGACAGAGCGCCGTGGCTGAGGTTCCGTTGGGGAACCACCTTTTGTGGGATGGGGACACGGTCGCATGCTCTGCAGGCCCCCATCGGTGGTCGGGACGTGTACTTGCCCTCCAACATGTTTTTCCCCCTAGCACTTAGCAGTAGTTCCTGTGTGAGAGCCAGAACCCGGGGCCGGGTAAATGCTCTTTTCGAAATCAGGCTTCTCGGTGCTTCTTCGTTTGCGGGTGTAGAGGTAGAATTTGGGGCTCACGCTGTCCCCTCTCCTTCCTTCACCCCAGGATGATACTTTGACTCTTTAGAAACTGGATTCATTTGTACACGCAAGTGCAATTCCATTTTAAATATCTGATAACTGGTAATAAATGTGAAAGCTAACATAGCCTAATCGTGTGCCTGTGGCGTGTGCCCCTCGGACGCCTGCCAGGGACCAGGGCGGAGGCCCGGCTGAGGCTGGCGAGCCCCACCGCTCCCAGCTCTCAGGTCGCTTTCCCGTCTCCAAACCTGCGCAAGTCGCAAAACGAGACTCAATTAGGCTTTTGTTTGGCATCGTTCTACATAACGGGTTAATTACAGGCTCTCACGTGGGGGCAGAGGAAAAACAAACTTTGCATTGAAAATGTTACAGTGCATTAGACATGCCCGTTGATTACTTTGATTGTTGTGTCTAATTCTTGACAGAGGGGTAATAATTTGGCCGGCGGTAATAATGGCTTGTAGTCGTCTGCTGAGAAAAAACAAGAGTTATGTCTTATCTCACACAGATCTTGTCCGGGGAAAGCCCCCCACCCCCTTTTTTTCCTTTGTCCTTTTCTCTCCTGTCTCTCTCTAATCTCTGGCACCGACTTGACTCTGAGCTTCCGGTCCACAATGTCGATTTGTGTGCCTTTTCGGGTTTTTTTTTTTTCCCTTACCATCATACCTGGGATGGCTAATAAGTACAAGGATGCCAGGTCCAACGTAAATATTGGTGTCATGCGTGCACAGTTACTGGTCACCCAAGCCCTGGAGGACTCTTTTTAGAACATTAGCACCTACAGATGAGAAAAACTTTATTTAGGGTTTGAATGCAATAGGTCTTAAGTGAGGCACACATCTTTGTGATGCTTTTTCATCCTGACATTTATTTCGAAGATTAGGGGTGGTGGTGGGGGAGGGGGCGATGTTTTACATATACAGATGTCAGTCTATTCTGAAGTCCACAGCTTGAATTTAAGTACAGTAATTTGGGAGGGGAGTGATGAATGATTTGGTTTCACTAGCTAGATTCAAGATATTTGTTGCCTGATGGCTGAGAATGGATTGATGGGTCGATAGCATTCTAGTTCTTGTATTATTCATAGGAAAGGTGTGTTCCTTCTAGACTCCTCAGCATGTGCTTTAAAATGTGTAGCTGAAATGTCTTCTTGTTTGCAAACCATC